CACGTCCAGGGGGGTCATGAAGATGGAGGTGACCACGGCCCGGCTCCTGAGGCCACCATCTGCTGGAGGGGCTGATGCCCCCTGGGTCCCGATCAGCCATCTTGTAGCTTCAGTTCTGGCTTTAGGATGGTACTCGCGCGGTGCGGAGCCCGGGGTCGGGCGGGCCCATGGTGGGTCCGCGACCGGTGCGGGGTCCGCGCGCCTTCGCCTCGCTCCAAGGCCGACGAGGAAGCTCTTAGGATGATTTTTAAAAAAACTTTCTGCTTTCCAAACCTCAAATAAATAGGGAAAACCTGGCTTTTGTTTGGGAGGAGGGCTTTAATCAGCAGCATCTTAAGTAGCTCTCAACTTGTGTCTGGACCGGTCTAGACCCTAGGTCTCTGTAACAGGCTCCTTTCTCTGCATACCACATCTCAGGGAATGTTCCCGGTTTGCACTTCTATTGTAATCTGGTTTTTGCTCTCTGTCCACACCTTTGAATCTGGTACCTCAGTCTGTCCTTTTCTCCCCAAGTTCACTATTGCCTGAGTCAGATATTTTGTCTCCCTTTTTTTGCTTCTCCATACTCCCACATCCAGTTCTGAATCGCTGTCCACTAACCCAAGTCATACTGGATTCTCCACTTACAAGAAAGGTATTTCCTTAGGCTATGGGTTAATGAACAGCATTTTGCATGACTTTTGATAGTGGAAAGCAATGATTCAAGTATCATGGTGCTCTGGTCTGGGCAGTTTTTAACTACTGCCTATAGCAATGAATTCTGGCTAACACTGAGAAATGGGTTTTCAAGAACCCTGTATAAGGGTGTCTGAACCCACAGCAACTGTCTGTCTCATGTCATGAACAGCAAAACAGCCCTGAGGAGGGTAGTCAGAGAAGCTCTCGGCACACATGGCCTTGCCAGGAACCATATCGATGATGGCAGCATCACCAGATTTCAAAAACTTTGGGCCCTCTTCCAGCTTTTTTCCACAATGACGATCCATCTTCTTCAGCTCAGAAAAGTTGCAAGCAATGTGAGCCGTGTGACAATCCAGCACAGGAGCCTATCCAGCACTGATTTGGCCTGGATGCATCAGGATAATCATGCGAGCTGTGAAGCCAGCTGTTTCCATTGGTGCAAAGCAGTGGGCAAGAAAGCAGCTGGAGCTGGCAGTCACCAAGTCTGCCCAGAAATCTCAGAAGGTTAAGTGAATATTTTCCCCAATACTTGCCAGTCTTAATTGGTGGTAGACGAACGGTCTCAGAACTGTTTGACTCAATTGGCCATTTAAGTTTAAAAGACTGGTTAATGATTACAATGCATCATAAAAACTTCAGAAGGAAAGGAAAATGTTTTTGTGGACCATTTGGGATTTGTGTGTGGGTGGCAGTTTTTAAGTTATTAGTTTTAAAAATCAGTGCATTTTATGGAAACAACTCTACCAAATATCTATCACTATTTAATGAGAAGGAAAAAAAAAAAAAGAGTGTATGAGGAACCACATCCCATCTAGCCAAAGGACTTCCATATGGTACTGAACAACATGTCACAAGTTTAAGAGTAGAAGCTGCTCTTTTCCTATTCAGAGACAAAGATTTTCTAGTGTGTCCCAAGAGACAGAACTTTCTCACTCTTTTGCCCTTATAGTCCTTACAGTTGACTTCTTCAAGAAGCAGGGAGTGGCCCTAGCCAGTTTGGCTCAGTGGATAGAGCATTGGCCTGTGGACTGAAGGGTCCCGGGGTTCAATTCTGGTCAAGAGCAGGCTCTGGGCCCTGGCTGGGGCATGTGCAGAAGGCAACCAATCAATGTGTTTCTCCCACATTGATATTTCTCTCTGTCTTTCCCTTTCTCTTCCATTGTCTCTAAAAAAAATATCAACGGAAAAATATCTTTGGGTGAGGATTTAAAAAAATAAATAAGTAAATAATAAAAATCCCAATCATATTTTTTCAAAAAGAAGGAGGGAGTGCATTGTATCTACAAAGACCACTGTGTGCACATCTGACAGGATGCTAATTTATCCTAATCCAGTCCACCTATATGCCTGCTATTGCATTTCATTTGTTTCTCTACTGGTTTGGGAGACACTGTTTAAACTCATCCAAGTCCATATTTACCCATCTACTATCCACTTTCCACAGAATTTACCAAACATGTGAAGAGCGTTTACATTCCTCTACTAGTACTTCTGTCTGGTAAGTCTACCTTTCCACCACAAAATTCACATACAATTCCATGTGTACCCTTATCAAAGTTATGGCTTCTCTTCCTGCCACCTTTCTACATCCTTAGCACTGAGCCCCTGCATATAGACTAGCACAAGAAATTTGCTCCATTATTCTACACACTGATGTTCATACCATCTGGTCTGTCTTCTGTTGAAGACCTTTTGCTTTGTGCCCAGTCGTAGTTTTCCACCAATGCTTTGGAACTTTTATTTTAATCTTTTTTTTTAAATAGATTTTTATTGATTTCAGAGAGGAAAAGAGAGGGAGGGAAAGAAACATCAATGATGAAAGAGAACCATTGATTGGCTGCCTCCTGCTCACCTCCTACTGGGATTGAGCCCGCAACCTGGGCATCTGCCCTTCACTGGAATCGAACCTGGGACCCTTCAGCTCGCAGGCCGACGCTCTAACCACTGAGAAAAACCAGCTAGGGCTCAATGCCTTGGAACTTGATAGTCAAATTGCTTCTTACTTCTCACATCTGACCTCACCCAGGGATGCAACCCATGGCTCCAAAGGAAAACCTATCTTGATAGGTGTTATGCTCTAGTTCAACTGAACTACATATTCCCTTTGCACGTGCTATTTCCTTTGCTCAGAATACCCTTCTTTGTCATTGCTTTCCTGGAGAATATGAGCATAAACAAAGTTTCCCAAATCATTTCCCTCTCAGCTATATTAATCATTACCCACTCTGGGCTATCTCTACACCTTTCAATTATTTCTATTGATTATCATACTATATAGAAATTATTTATGTGCATGCTTCTCCATTGTACTTGTATGTCTTGACATCAGGGCTTTTGTAATTTTTGATCTCTAATTTCTTGCATAGTGCTTAGAACATAATAAGCCCTCATTCACTTATTCATTCTTTAGGCAAATATTAATTGAGGACCTATTGTTTTTTTACTCTCATGGAGCACAGAGGAAAATGGAGGCAACAAAGCTGGGTGTTTTAAAAATCAAATTGCATTGCAACTTGATTCAATTGCCTTTCTTTTCATTTTCTGATCCATTACCACTCTTCAAAATAACTTTGTTGGAGTCTTAACTTCAGTTCTGTGGTTCTTGATTCCTATGTTTGCTTTGACTCTTTAAAAAAACAACCAAAAAAACCACAAAACAAAACCCTTCAGATGGCCAATGGCAGGCATTTCCCTGTGTACCTGAGCACGGTGATGTCTTATTTTATCTCAGTTGATCTTTTTCAGTTAGGAAAAACCTTTCACGTCAGAATAATTCAGGATGTTTTTTGTTACTTTTAAAATTTTAATTTAAAGAAAATTTAAGACAGGCATGTAGTCATTTTTCCTGTGAATTTTGTTTTCAAGCTTTTTAAAAAGTTGTTCTTGGCAGAGGTGTGGTTTGGTTTGGGGACAAAGGGGCTTCTGGGTTCAATGTGCAGCCACAGCTTCCTCCATGCCTCCCCCGCCTGCAGTTCCACCATCACAATTACCAAGAAGATTGGTCCTGTGAAAATGTCTGGTTCCTCTGATGGGAAGGAACCTGGCCAAGTTTAGACTATGATGACAATGCCCAAAATTACTTTATCATAGTTGCTAATCAGCAAGCAAAAGAGGTTGGGCTGGGGGAGACGTGGGGAAGGTTAATTGTATATGGGCATAAGGGACCTTATTAGAGTGATGGAAACAATAACAAACTGACTTATGGTTATGGTTGCACAACTTGCTAATTTACTAAAAAAATCATTGAATTACATGATATGTAAAATGTACATCAATAAAGATATAGTAAAGAGCAAGGTGTACAACAGAGTATTTAAATTGCTACCATTTACTTTTTTCTTCTTTTTAAAAAAAAATATATTTTATTGATTTTTTTACAGAGAGGAAGGGAGAGGGATAGAGACTTAGAAACATCGATGAGAGAGAAGCATCCATCAGCCGCCTCCTGCACACTCCCCACTGGGGATGTGCCCGCAACGAAGGTATATGCCCAAATCAAACCTGGGACCCTTGAGTCCGCAGGACGACGCTCTATCCACTGAGCCAAACCGGCCAGAGCTTTTTTCTCTTTTTAAAAAGAAAATGTTTTCTTGATTTTTAAAGAGAGAGGGAGGGAGAGAGAGAGAAAGAGAAACATCTATCAGTTGCCTCCTGCACGCATTCCCAACTAGGGATTGAACCCCCAAACTGGGCATGTGGCCTGACCCGGAATCAAACCAGTCACCCTTTGGTGCACGGGATGGCTCAACCAACTGAACCACACCAGCAGGGCAATATACTACCATTAAAATTAAAAAGCAGGAAACCAAAAAGTAAGGCAAAAAAGGCTGAACCTTCATGAAAAGTTTACATAAATAAAATTTTTAGTGAGAGTGGAGAGCTTTCTTTATATTTGGGCTTATTCTGTGCTTCAGTCTAGGCTTAGTATTCAAATACCAAAAATATGGGCTTGGGGCAAGGGGCTGTCTGTGGAGAGAAGAGGCAAAGGTGTCTGTACTCCTGTTCACTTGCAGGGCACCTAGAGGCTTTGGTGAGGTGACTCTCTCCCAACGTGTCTTGAATTGTGTATAGAGCTGTGTTGCAGGCAATTTGATTTTATGTGTGATCCAGCTAAAGCTCTATATGTCACATTGAATGGGAAGGAGGCAGGAATATGCATAGGTATCACGTGGGCAATCTTTGCGCATTGGGGAGGGGAGGGGGTTGGCATCAGGTGTTAACCTCAGTTCAGCAACCTCATTTCTTGAGTTCTGGCTAAGAGAAGAATTCAGAGCCAAGAATCAAATTATAAGAAAAGTTTATTTAGGAAGCCACAGAGGTAGAAGTAGTGAGCCATAGAAGAAATGGGCTCAAAAACAAGTTACAGCAAAAGAAGGGCCTTTGGAGCTTCGGGGAGGGCGGGAGAGAGAGCTGCCCGGGGGAAAGGGTGGGAAGAGGCGCAGGTGTACTCCATCGAAAGAGCTGCATTGGTTCCTCCATCCTGAGGCCTTTTATCTGAGGTCTCAGAGGAGGATCTCAAGAGAATGTTTATCAGCTCTCCTGGTGTGTCTCCTCAGGTCTTGATCTCCGATGATTGGTCAGCGCCAGGGAGGGGGTCATTAGCCATTGCTGCTGGTCCTGATGTCACTGAAACACAGTGAAGGTCTAAATGTCATTTTCAGGGGTTATTGATTAAGGGAGTAGTTGTGTGAAGGCTAGTAGTTTTGCCCATTGCTAGGCACCTGGGGCTCCCTGCCCTGGTGACCCTCTGCACCTGGCCTGTGATTCCTGCTCTGCTCATGCCTGTCTAACTGCCTATTACAGGCAGCATGTGGGTGCAAAGGCTGGAGGTGCAGGCCTTTGGTAAGGCCAGGTGCTGGGGTAGGGGGTGGGGGTAAGGGGGGTGAATTGTGCATGTGTGGGGAGAGGGTATGGAAAGGAGGAACAGCTAGACCAGAAGAGTAGGGAAGGTGCATTGAAAGGGCAACACACTAAAGAGTGTGGTGTGTGTGTGTGTCTGTGTGTGTGTGAGAGAGAGAGAGAGAGAGAGAGAGAGAGAGAGAGAGAGAGAGAGAGAGAATTCCTGTGATCACATCTCGTGGTTGCAAAGCAGCTTCGTGTACTCAGTATTATCTCCAGCAATGTTCTGTGACTTTATCCTGAATTGGACACAGTTATGTAAAAACGTGTTAAGACAATGCCACAGGAGCTTGGCTGGCAGCAGCAAGCTGGGCAGGTAAAGGAGGCAGGGCACCATGCTGTCCTTGCTGACCTTCTTTCCTGGGATTTGTTCCTGAGCTTCAGTCAAACAGGCACAGGAAATCACCGTGGAGAGAAATGCCCAGTGGGTGAGTCTGGAAAAGAGATGTGGAGGTTTAAGAATATGTTTGATTTTTATTATTATTTTTAGAGGTTGAATTCATTCCACATTTTTGTTTCATGGAGAACAAACATGTTCTCTTTTAAAAAGTCACCAGGAAAGAATTGGCAGCCCTTGCCCCGCTGTACATTGGAGACTCCCAGTGCAGACCCGCCAGACCACCTGGCCAGTGACAGCCATTCACTCCCAGAGCCAGGACTCAGACCATCATTACTGAAAGTACTTGTGGAAAGGTCTTTTTTGTTTTTTTTTCAGATATATGTCTTCATATAAGTTTCCTGTTACTTTGGAAAGAACAGATTAGTCCCTCAGACCTGTACTTTGTTTGGCCTTGTTACGTACATGTTTTCGGCCAACTCCATCTTGCTGAGGGATCAACCCTCATTTCACATGGTGTTTTCTTTCCCATAAACTGCATGACCTGATTTTAGTATTTATTTTAAAAAACACCAACTAGTTTTGCTTTTTTCCAGATGGTAACCCTAAATGCGGCATTTTAATGATAGGTAAATGGTGTGAAATACAGTATCTCCCCAAATTCATGTCAATCAGGGCCTGTCAATGTGACCTTATTTGGAAATAGTGTCTCTGCAGATGTAATTAGTAAGATGAGGTCATGCAGGATTAGGGTGGGTCCTAAAAACAATGATTGGTGTCTCTATAAGAGAAAGGAGAGGGAGATTCAGGGATAGAGACACCAAAACACACATGGGAAAAGGGCCATAAGAAGACAAAGCAGACTGGAGTGATGCAGCCATAGAGCAAGGATTGACGCAAGCAGCTGAAGCCAGGAGAGAGACCTGGCGCAGATTCTCCCTCAGGAGCTCAGAAGAAACTAACCTGCTGACACCGTGATTTCAGACTTCTAGCCTCCAGGAACAAGAGAGCGTAATGTTTGTTGCTTTAAGCCCCCAGTTTGTGATAATTGGTTATGGAAGCCCTAGGAAACCAACGCAGCGTGTATTCTAAAGTTTTTGCTCCACAGCAGCCCGAGAGGTTTTGTTGAAATGTAAAGCAGATTGTGCTGCTCTGATCAATGGAATGGTCTGCAGGCTCCATGTGATCTGTACCAGCCCCATCACTCTCAACTCATTTCATCTCTTTGCCACACTGCCCTTCTTGGTGTTTTCCTAACATACCTCAGGCCCTTTGCCTTTCTGTCATTCTGGAATGTTCTTTTGCTGATATACATACAGCTCTCTCCCCCACCTCTTTCACATCTTTACACATTGGCACCTTCTTTGTGAGACTTCACCTGACCTCTCAACTTAGAAAATCACCACCGATTCCCCAACCCCCTTGCTGCCTTATTTTATACTAGAGGCCCAGTGCACAAATTTTTGTGCACTGGCAGGGGAGGGGGGGTGTCCCTCAGCCCCACTTGTGCCCTCTCACAGTCTGGGACCCTTAGGGAGATAACCACCTGCTGGATTAGGCCAGCTCCCTGGGTGGCAGATGCTGATCCAGCAGGGCTGATCCGGGGGTTGGGGCACTGCCCCATGGCACACACACGGCAGCACTGATCTGGGGGTTGGGGTGCTGCCCCGGGTTGGGTCGCACACAGGACGCCCGGACGGGCCGGCTGATTGCTGCTGCCCCACCCGGCTGCCCCGGGTATCAAATAGCAGACCTATATGGTGGCAGGGCAGGCGGGATGGTGCTGTCCCGCCCTGCCTGCAGTATGCAAATTAGCTGCCATCCGTGCTGATTAGCCAATGGGAGGTGTAGCGAAGGTATGGTCAATTACCATGTTTGTCTATTATTAGATAGGATGTTAGTACTTATCACTGTCTAGCTTATCATATATTTTACTTACTTATTTCATTTATCCTCTGGCTTCCCCAACAGAGGATTAGCTCTAAAAGGACAAGGAGTTTTGCCCGTTCTGTTTTTCTTATGTTTGCTTGTTAATCCTCACCCAAGGACATTTTTAGAGAGAGTGGAAGTGAAGGAGGGAGGGGGGAGAGAGAGAGAGAGAGAAACATTGATGTGAGAGACACATCAATTGGTTGCCTCCTGTACATGCCCCGACCCAGGCTGGGGATGAGAACTTACATCCAGGACATGCCCTTGACTGGAATCAAACCCAAGACTCTTTAGTCTGTGGGTCGTCACTATGAGGCACCAGCCATGGTGTCCATTCTGTTTTTTACTATATCCCCAACACCCATGTGCCTGACACATAGTTGGTACTCAGTGAATATCTGCTGGACAAGTGGGTGCATACACTGGTGGTGCAGCTGTGCTGTCACGTGCATGTATGGAAGCACCTCATTACTGACCACCTTGCATGTGAGGAGCTGCCCAAGCTGGCACCAGAACTTACATTACTATTACCAATTCTGGGCCTACCTCCAAAACTGGATATTTGGCAGCCACGGCAGGGAGCACCTGGTGTTCCTGGTGTCCATGCTATGAAGCTGAATGCCATGCCCACAGAATCCATGCGGTTCTTGGAGGTTAGTGTCTGAGTCTGCTGAGGCTGCCAGAGCAAAATAAGATAGATTAGATGGCTTATACAACAGACATTTATTTTGTCACAGATCTGGAGACTGAAAGTTCAAGATGAGGATGCCAGCATGGTCAGGTTCTGGTGAGAACCCCCTTCCTGGCTTTCAGATGGTTGCCTTCTCCCTGTATTCTCCCATGACAGGGAGAGAGGTCTGGTGTCTCTTCCTCTTCTTATCAGCCAGTTCTATGGGATCAGGGCTCCGCCCTCATAACCTCATTTAACCTTTATCACCTCTTCAAAGCCTTATCTCCAATACAGTCACATGGGTGTTCAAACTTCAACATCTGAAAGCTGGAGTGGGGAGCATAATTCAGTTCCTGGCATCAGTGCCACATCCAGCAATATGGGGCTAAGTAGACTTTTGTGCAGTAGCATTCCGTAATCTTTTCTCTGACAAAAATGGATACAGAATTCCAGATACTAAGTTCTTTCAAGTAATATAGACTATATCTCACATACACTGCCTGAATATAGAAATGCAGATGATTGGTAACATACAGACAGAGCCCTGTACTACTCTGAGTTACTTAACTCCCACTGGCATTTTTGTTGAGTGGTTAGACATGCAATCTAGGGTAGGGTAGGGTTACAAATGAATCTTTCTTCGTTTCTCCTCTAAGACCATCTGCTCTTAGGTGTGCTGTTAACAAGGCCAGGGTCAAAAGTTCTGTCTCTCCTGAGCTTCCTCCCAGCATGACCCAGTGTGAATGCTTTCAATACACCACAGCAGATGTCTCAGATATGGCTTACCTGTGGCTGGGCAAGAGCATGTGGATGAATCATTGCAGTTAATCCACACTGTTAGAACCTACAGCACATGCTCTACAGATTGTGAGTTGATCATATGGAGAGTGAACTTTAAAGCAGGAAAGCAATTTTAATTATGTGATTGTGGGCAAATCATTTATCCTCTTTGGCCTTGGTTTTTCAATTAAAAAATATAAGAATTGGGGCAAATTCCTTCTAACTTTAATATTCTGGGACAATGGCCCATTTATAAAACCTAACTAACAATCAAAGAGAAAAGGGAAGGACACTAGTCAACAAGAGAATGGATTATAAGGTGCTAATTTTGAAAAATAAGCAGATTGAGAGGCCTCACCATCAGGTCAGTCCTGAGAGGACAATTTATGGGCGTCTCTTCCTCTTGCTGCATAGGTTCAGATGACTCCAGGGATTTTGGCCTGAGCAACTGAAAAGATGGAGCTGTCAATGAATTGAGATGATGACAGCTGTGGAAGTAGTAGATTTAGAGGGAAGATCAAGAATTTGGTTTTTGACATGTTGAGTTTGAGAAGCTAATTCACATTTAGAGGAGAGATGTCAGTTTGTCAATTGGATATTTGTGTCTGGATTTTGGGAGCGACATCTGCTGGAGATAAAAATTTTGGAGTCATCAACATACAATTGATATTTAAAGCCTGACACTTAGGGTCAAGCAAGCCTCAGACCCAGCGTACTCTAAAATTAAGTGGTTAAGCATACTAGTCTGTTATAGCATGATCAGTTTTTATTGTCATTGCTATGTTTGTATTATATTATCCTTATACAGTAAAACCTTGATATAATGGACTAATTTGGGCAAGGGGGTGTCCATTAAAACTGAAAATCCATTATATAATAAAGTAGGTTTTCCAAATGTGTGTGCTAAAAAATTGACAAATTAGTTGGTTTACCTGACTACTTATGTAGACACATTTGTGTAATTAAAATTAAGTCTGTATGAAAACTTTAATTTCACAGAAAGATTTTCTATAGGTATTACTGTAATTTTAAATTTACACTGAGCCCAGCCTGTGTGGCTCAATGATTAAGCATTGACCCATGAACCAGGAGGTCACAGTTTAATTTCTTGTCAGAGCACATGCCTGGGTTGCAGGCTCGATTCCCAGTAGGGGCATGCAGGAGGCAGTTGATCAATGATTCTCTGTCATCATTGATGCTTCTATTCCTTTCTCCTTCTCCCTTTCTCTCTCTGAAATCAATTAAAAAAGCATATTAAATTTATACTGAATAGGTCTAGTAAATGTATTCACTCACCAATCACCGCAAGTAAACAAAGGCACACGGTGGAGGGTTGGCTTAGTGCATGTCAGATGGTCTGCTGGCAGGAGTTAAAACTGCTGCAGAAAGTTAGGCCACCAGACAACAGAACCAATTACCACTTGAGATGTGGTGTGAACTTGTGCAAATCATTCCCCAAACACTGTTTATGAGCAGTGACTCTGGGATTTAAATATATAGACTATAGCTGTAGATATGATTTATTTATGTCGGTGAAATTATTAGTGTTTTTTCCAACATATGGCCTATTTGCTAAAATTTGTTAAAAATAACAGTGAATTAATAACAAAAAATAACCAAATAAACAAATATTGGTTAGAAGCATTTTTAAATTAACTGGCTGTTAATTTTCACATATGAGATACAGACTGGAAATTTTGTCTGTTAAATCTGAAGTGTGTTAAATGGAGATCTGCAAAATAGAGGGTTTACTGTACTGTGATCTCCATGATGGGAAGGACTGGATCTCACTCATTTTTAATAGCTTTATCTGAGATATGACTTACCTACTATAACACACATCTGTTTTAAGTATACAATTCGATGATTTTTAGTTCTTATTCATTTTCTATCTTCAGTGGCGAGTATATGTCAAGCACTTAATGCATGTTTTTAGAATAAATTTAAAAATTTTAAGTGATTAATAAATGAATGAATGCCTGTGATCTTATTAATTTTTTTTTGAGAGAGAGAGAAACATCGATTTGTTGCTCCATTTATCTATGCATTTAAAGGTTGCTTCCTGTATGTACCCTGATGGGGGACAGAATCAACAACTCTGAAGTATCAGGACACTGCTCTAACCAACTGAGCTACCAGGCCAAGGCTGGAATGCATGTGATCTTAGATCAGCCCTTTACGTGTCCAGATATCACTTCTTTGTATATAAAATGAGGGTCCTGACTAGAGGATTTTAAATTTTCTTTCAACTTTGGAATTTAAATTTAAATGTTCCAAATATTTGTTTAGAGACAGGGAATAAACTTCAGTGAGCTACTTAGGTTTCACCATCACTTTTATAATGATACTAGAGGCCCAGTGCATGACATTCATGCACTGGGAGGTGTGGGGGTCCCTCAGCCCGACCTGCACCCTCTCCAATCTGGGAGCCCTCAGGGGAGCCCTCTCCAATCCGGTAGTTTCAGTCTTTGCAGTCATATGAGAGAATTGTCTGAGACCCCAACTCAGTTTGGTTTGTTGCTCATAGAATAATAGAGGCTTTTTTTTTTTTCTTTTTGCTTCATTGGTGGAGATTTCCTGGAAGTTTTAGGATATCATCCCTTTAATTTTTCCTAGACACTCTGATTTTACTTATGTCTCGCACCTTTGCTTTCCCTCCATCCCCCACTGCAATAGTAACTTGCTCCAGGCTCACTTTGCTCTAATGCAGTGGTTCTCAACCTTCCTAATGCTGCGACCCTTTAATACAGTTCCTCATGTTGTGGTGACCCGCAATTTAATTGTTACAAATTGAACATAATTAAAGCATAGTGATTAATCACAAAAACAATATGTAATTATATATGTGTTTTCCAATGGTCTTAGGCGACCCCTGTGAAAGGGTCGTTCAACCCCCAAAGGGGCCGTAACCCAGAGGTTGAGAACTGCTGCTCTAGTGTCTAGGCTAGGAGATCCATCTGCCACCAGAACTACGATTCCCAGCATTCCTGGTGCTCCCCACACTCTGGGCTTCTGTTTCCAGTCCTGGGGCTGCCACCAGAACTACTATTCCCAGAATTCCTGGTGCTCCATGCTCTTGGTTTTCCCTTCCTCCTCTGTCTCTGTCCCATGGCCTCCCACTCTGCCAAGTCCTCCAAGCTGCCAAGTTCTCCCTCTCTCTCTCCATCTGGTGGCTTGGAGCCAATTTCCCCAAGCCGCTCCCTCTCCGCCAGCTCTCCTGCTTTGCTCTCCACCCAGCGCCTGTGGATGCAAATTAACCCACCATCTTTGTTGAGTTAATTTGCATACTCACTCCTGATTGGCTGGTGAGCATAGCAGAGGGATGATCAATTTCCATGTTTCTCTTTTTTTATATAGGACTAGTGGCCCGGTGCACAGATTCATGCACATTGAAAGGAAATTAATTAGGAGGTGGCTGGTGGGGCGGGACTAGGCAAGATGGGCTGGACACGCCCTGGAGCCAACCTCCCATGGTCCCACCCCAGCTAGCAGCACCTGGGGTGGCACCATGGTTCGAAGGGTGTTTGCAGAGTGAGTGAGTCCTCCAGAAGGTGGGGTCTCTCGGCCTTGCTTGCAGGGATCGGGCCGAAATTGGCTCTCTGACATCCCCTAAAGGGTCCTGGAGTGTGAGAGGGCACTCTGCAAAGTTGCTGTCGTACAGGGTGTGGAACACAAATGCAAGTGTGCAGTAAACCAGATTCAGGGCCAACAGTGCCCCAGCAACAACATAACCCACAGCTGAAGGTGGAATCGTGCTCCCTCCTCCCTGGTTCCAAGAATTGCTGTTGCCAAGTCACCACAGCTCAGCAGCTCCTGCGTTGAGCATCTTCTCCCTGGTGGTCAGTGAGCATCATACCTACCAGCCAGTCGGACGGTCCGATGGTCACTTAGGCTTTTATATATATAGATAAAGACATGGAATTATTCAGAAAAAATTTTAGACCAATGAGAATTGGTTTTGTCTTTGTTGGGTCAGGTTGTAACTACCATAACTATGAGTATTGTTTGAAATTGAATATTTGACCATGAATCAATCATAATAGAGCAGAAACTTGGGATATAGTATTATTTGGTTTATAATGCATTACAAAAAAATGAGTGAAATGTTAAGTGAAACCATGTTACAGGATTCTTATATTTCAACATTATGAAGTATATTGTGATAAGTTAAATATTGTAATCCCTGGGGCAATCACTAGAGAAATAATATCAAGAGAAATAGATAAAAAATAATACAAAAAATTAAAATGGAATGCAAAAATAATGAATTAATACAAACGAAGATAAAGAGGAAGAGGGGGGAATATAGATGACAAAAATAGAAAGCAAATAGCAAAATGGTAGATTAAAACCAATCAGATCAATAATTACATTAAGTTTAAATTGACTAAGTGTGCCAATAAAAAGCAGAGATTGTCAGACTTCAGATTTGATA